GGGGGGGGGGAAGGGCTTCCTATCTCCGCCTCCTGTACCTGTCCCCAAAAGGTGATGAGCTCAGCCCCTAAGAAGGTCCCAGGACACCCTTCCCCCCAAGAAGCTTTTGTCTAGGCTCTTGGGTCTTGCCAGGGCTGTAACTCTTCCCCACCCACCTCCCAGGACCCTGAACCTCCAGAAAGGGCTCTGGAGCCCAAGCCTGTTGGTCTCCTGCAGTCCCAGCCCAGGTAAGGCCCTCACAGGTGAATAGGGTGGGGGCCCTTCTGCCTGAGCCCCAGTCAGGGATGCCCTACCTGGCCCTTCTTGGACCCCTCTGGCCCCACAGGTTCCACAGCACCCCGTGTGGGTCCTGGTGGCCCCCCTCCTCCCCAGCCCGCGCCGGCGCGGGTTCGGCCCTATGCCTGCTGCGTCTGTGGAAAGCGCTTCTCACTCAAGCATCAGATGGCGACACACTACCGAGTCCACACAGGTAGGGGGCGGGGCCCCTTCCCGGAGACTTCCTTCCCAACTCCGCATCTCTCTCTGCATGCCCTAGCACGGCGGGCTTTCCCCCTCCTTCCACTTCCCCCTCTGTCGGCTCCAGGCGAGAAGCCCTTCTCCTGCGGCCTGTGTCCTCAGCGCTCCCGGGACTTCTCTGCCATGACCAAGCACCTGCGGACGCATGGCGCCGCGCCCTACCGCTGCCCTCTGTGCCCGGCCGGCTGCTCCAGCCTGGCCTCCATGCAGGCTCACATGCGCGGCCACTCGCCCAGCCAGCTGCCGCCAGGGTGGTCCATTCGCTCCACCTTCCTCTATTCCTCCTCCTCCGGGTTATCCCGGGCTTCGCCGTCTACCAGTAGCAGCCCCCTTTCCGCCGCCACCTGATGGGGTGTCCGCGGCTTCTATGGCCTCAGCCTGGAGTCCAATGGAAGAAAGCTAGGCGGGCCAGCAGGCCACCTGACCAGGCACCTTCAGAAGCGCCCGGAAGCCCAGCCGCCCGCCCGCGGGCCGCAGCAGCCTGGGCAATGAAGTTCGCACAAATCAAGGTCCGTTGTACGGGGCTGCGGATTACAAGACCCAAATAAAGAGTTCACGTGCCTTCCCCAGCCCGGGTCGTCTCGTCGCGCGCGCGCAGGGCCGGGGGCGGAGGCAACCTTGCCCTTGGTCCCATAGCGGCCCCCGGTGGCCGAGCGTCCGCGGTCCAGCGAGACGGCAAGCTTCGCCACCTCCCCGCGCTTCCCATCTTCTCCCAGGAGGCAGCGCACCGAAGGGGCTCGAGGTCCGAACTGGCTTCGCAGCAGGCCCCGGGGGGCGGCGGGGGGGGGCTGCCATCCGAAATCACCCGCTCCTTCCACAGCAAACAGCGGCCCCCCGGCGCGAGGGCGCACAGGGCTAGCCCACGGCGCTGTGGAAGGCGCGCTTCGCCCTGCCCCGGGCCCTCGCCTCCTCACCCGGAGCATAACCCACCCCATCCCTGCTGCTCCGCGCTCTCCCAAAACCTTCCCCACGCGCCGCGTCGCCGGGTCTCGACGGCAGCGGAGACGCCTTGGCCACCGCCTCTTCCCCAGCCCACGCCTTCCGCGGCTGCGAACTTCATTTCCCAGCGCCTTCCGAGTTCCCAGGGCCCGAGGCTCGCTGCACCCTGGGAGTGACAGCTCGTGCGGGCCTTTTGCTCCGATTCGTGCAACAGGAGAAGCCGGGAGGCGGGGAACCACACTTTCCGGAGGACTAGGAGCTGCCTTTCCAGGCCTTGCTCGGGACTCCCTGGACCCACCTTTCGCTGCCCTTCCCCCGGCGGGCGGAGCCAGGAGTCTGGACTACATTTCCCAGAGGCCCCGGCGCTCGCTCCTCGCCCCC